TGTTTGATGTCGCATTTCATCTCTTTTTCAATTTCTTTGTCGAGCACGAATCTCCAAATATGAAAAATCATAAATTACCTAAGCACAAATCTCAGTTTCGTTCTAGTCGCGAACCCATCAATAATAAGATAAATATTAGGTTTGATATTTGTAGTTTTTCCGAGATCTTTTCCAAGATTCCGTTTAACCATTTTTCTTGAGACAATCATGATATTTATTTAATTAACGTTTACATATTGTCCTATACTTCAATTAAATGGTATAGTTGACTACAGTATAACTATTGAATTGGATCAATGCAATGTTCTATATAGTGAACTATTTTTGATCACCATACATGATTGAATAGCTAACTATTCGTATATAACTAGAGAACTATTTTAATTAACTATATTTAGTTATAAGTGTTATTTAGTTAACTATCTTAATAAATATATATAGTTAACTATATTATTACAATAAAATTAATTACTGTAAAAATTATATAGTTTACTGTATATTAATTGAATAACTAACTACAACAACATAAAAAGTAGAAATATAGTCAACTATATAAAGTATGAATTTTAGCTAAATGCGACAAAAAAAGAAAATAGGAATATAGTCAACTATACAAACTTTCGATGTTTTTGAGATCAGCCGATTACAACAACATATAATTTTTTTAGGGATTCTAGGGATTTTTTTTGTTTCTACTACTTTCCTTATCCGATTATTTTTTTTCTTTTATGATTGGCATTTCTTACCCAATTAAATAATTCTACGATTTTTCTTATCCGATTATTCTTTTTCTTTTATTATTGACATTTATTATTCAATTAAATAAGGACAATTTCGTCCACATGTTTTACTTCTCTGTTACTCACCTAAATTCTATTATACCTATGTTATTCTCTTATTTATGTATCTCTAAAGTAATATTAAGCTAATTCACCGTAATAGTAATCTAACCTTTTTTACAAGGGAAATTAGGTAGTATATTAGTCTTTCTACCTAGTATTTATTATCTAACACTATATAAAACATAATATAGTAACTACCATTTAGCAAACCTAAAATTTTAATTTTACCCTTATATAATTAACATTAAAACAATAATTTAAAGGAAAACCCTAATCTCTAATCATTATTACTCCG